GAGGTTCACACTCCAATGATCATATACACTGTGTGTGTGATAGAAGGATACCGGGGGGGGGGGGGGGGGGGAGAAACCTGGCTGGGTATGACATGGTAAGTTCTGAACGCCCTTACTTTTAGATCCTTCCTTAAAACAAACTCTTCTCCTGAAAATACAAAGCAAATCACTAATCTAAGTTCAGGTTATACTAAAAAGAAGGTAAATAGGAGCATACTTTAAACAAAGTTACAAATAATAGGCAACATGCACTCCTACAGTATCACATTCCAACCAATAATAGTTCTTATAACGTAAAGCACAAGACTCAATGTGCCAAGTAACAGCAAGGAAATTATTCTAATTTCAAAAAATTGAAATAATATATTACCCACATCCAAAGCAATCAAAGTGTGCTTGAGTTCAGATTGGTCCATAGCTCTATGTGCTTCAAAAATCTTCTCAACGCTTTCTTTAACCTCATATGGCACAACTATTGTAGGTGGAACCATTCCATAGAGGCCACGTGTAGCCACATGCATGGGCAGTCCTCCTATGTGGTCCATATGTCCATGGGAAATGAAGATAAATTGTTGAGACACAGCACGTTGTGGGCACTTGCCAATATCAAATGCCAAATTTAGAGTGGGGATAATGACACAAGTCTCATGCCCCGCAATTGAAATTCCTTCGATTTGATAGCCTTCTATTTTCAACCCCTTTTTCGAGGCTTTTCCCTTGTCCTTCTTGTTCTTAGATTTTGCTAGACTTGGATCTGATGTAGAAGTGCTTGTTTTTTGCTTCATCTCCATCGATTAATTTTGAAGGAAAAAGAGTCCAAGAGGAGATCCCTGTCCTTTAGAACATAGACATAGGGGCGGATCTATCCTTTTTCAAGCCTGCAGCAAGCTTACCATCAATATGGAATGCATAGTACTGTGTGCAAGTTAATAAATAGAATAGGGTTCTTGATAAGTATAGCAAGTTTTCTACAACAGTAGAACTCATTAACCAAAGATTTGGGGTGTCAAATGGATGGATATTTTTTTATTTAAGTTATAATGGATGGATTAAAAACGATCAATTTAATAAAACACATTTGATTCATCTGTTAACAATCTTTAATAGATGGAGACTAAACCAGATACGCAATCTTTCTATTCTCTTACAATTTCTTTCCACATGCAGGGATGATTGGCATTGCATATAGGGATACTTTGGTAGAGTCATAGAGATATACTACGTAGTTACCAACAAAGAAATGTATCATTAACACATGCAAAAAATTCAATGTGTTTGATGGATTTAAAAGAGCTTTTTAATGTGATCCAATCATGTAAAACTATTAATAAGTGCGTCCCTAACAATCTGTCTAAAGAAAATGGATGAATTTGATCCATTGCATTATCATGGGACTGGATGGATTTATCTTTTAATCGATGGAACAGATGGTGAATAAATGAATAATTTTTCCACCCCTACATGAATTAGAAATATACTTTATTAAGTGAAGTAATGTACAACATAAATTGTGTGCAAGCATACGAACTGCTCTAACGTCTGAAACTTAAAAACTCAGCACATAATCTGCCAATTTGCAAGTGTAAAGACCGGTGCATGCTTTCATGATGGTCTAAACTCAGGAGCAACACGGGACTTGACTAGTCCAATGGGAGTTGACTATATAGACTCGTAAAATCAGAGTAGGTACTACTTAGGGGTGTTTGGATCTGTTTCTTAAAACTGCTTCTTCAAGGAGCAAAAAACAGAAGTTGGAGTGCTCTAAATTACTCCTAAGAATCAGTTTTTTAAAAATTGGGAGAGACCAACTTTTGAAAACTGATTCTGATTAAGTTTAAAAAAGAAATAGAAGCAAATCAGTTCCAAACACCCCATTACTAGTTAGTCTTTCATGAGTTCATACGAAACATTTTTTTCAAATTAGCGAACGGCGTTCTTAGTGCCGGCTGGGGGTAGGACACCACCCATCTTCCCATAAGAGATGGGGCAACATTTTAAAAAATTACGATTAACTTGTTAAACTTTTGCATATTCATCCTCAGTAAATTCAAGATACGGTATGCAAGTTAATGAAATATGAAAAAATCTTACCTGATCGTTTCAGCTTAAGAAATGTAGCTCCAACAAAGCAGGAATAGAGCTGCTGAGAGAAAAGACCAGTTTGGCTTATTAGGGATGGAACTATGGAAGGATTTAGCGACAAACTTGTTAGACGAGCTAATGAGCGATTCGGAGTATGTTTTAGCAGTTTGGCTGATTAGAGATGGAGCTCAATATAAGATTTTTACCAAACACACCAATTTGTTTTCTTTGTTTTGTATGCTAAATTGTACACGAGTATATTAGTCAAAATAAGTATGTTTGGGGCTATGTTTTCATATGTATATAATTCTAATTGATATTGGTAATCTTAATTTTGGTATCCCACCAAATGGATACAAAATGGAAGATGTGAGTCACCAAAAGGACACATATTATCAAATGCAAACAAATGGGAATCCCAAAAGAAGATTTCACAAGATATTTAAAAAAGAACCATGCAAACAACATTTGGCAATTTCTTGTGGAGAAAATTGGGCGGATGTGCATAATTAAATATGTGTGCTTAAGTTAATATCGTGGATTAGCAAAAATTAGGTAGATAGCATTTATCCACTAGGCAGTTTCTTTATCTATTAAAGATCTCTCTTAGTCCGAAATTATTTCATTCCAGTATCATAAATGGATCATGCTATGAAGCAAGCAGTGATTCCCTTGTAGTTCACATCCAACTTCTCTTTGAATGATTGGAGTCAACGAATGTCCAATTATTATTGATCCAACTATTATGATGTGATCCTTTCAAAAAAACTATTATGTGATATTTTAAAAGGCTTGTATTTGCAACCACAATTAGGAAGTTTATATATCGTACTATGGTAGTTAATATTTGACGGATTTTTATACTAACCAAAACAAGTGTTATGTACTTCATTAATAATGCAGTGATTACTTCAAGTGGCGTATTTTTTTTAGGTTATATAGCATTTTCCCCCTTTCTTGTGGAGATTACTACGTATTTATTACTTTACAAGTGTACAATAATAATGCACTGATTACTATTCATGTACTATTTACCATTGAATTTGTATCTTTGTAATTATTACACCACTATGGAAACTCCTATATAAGGGACATCATAAGATTTCTAAAAAAACATGACTGGTTTGATAAATTCGGGTTTAATTGATACAACTTTAATACTATCTCCGCCCCATAAAACTCTTCCCACTTACCATTTTGGGTCGTTCCAAAAAATTCTTCTTGTTTCCCTTTTTGGAAAGATTTGTGTGGCCACCATTCATTTACATTTTTCTTACTCAACTTCAACCACATATATCCACTTTATTCTCACTTTCTTAAACTCTGATCCAAGTCAAACTGAGAAGAATTTTCTGGGACGGAGGGAGTATCAAACTTAATACAGACCTTCCGCCTAATAAAAATTGAAGTTCTAAATAAAATCCTACCCTCTTTAGGGTCCTAGAATCGATCCCCCATTTGACCATGGACGAGTTGGTATTAGAGATCGGTACTGGCCCGGTATCTGGATTGGTGGTTATAAGGGCTGGGCTTCGGGCTTGATTTTTTGGCCTGGCCCAGCCCAATACTGTTTGGGCCCAGAACAGAACCGGTACGGGAGCATACCGAGCCAGTACCGAGCTCCACTTTTCCAGAACCGGTACCGCCCGGGCCCAACCAGGGTCCATCCTTAGGGATAAGACTTGAATGTTGTTGGTGTTTACTTTTTGAATGTTAAAATTGTAAAACAACTTTGTCCTTTATTTTCATATAATTCACATCAAACCACATTGACCATACATTTTGGAATGGAGGGAGTGGTGATTTTAAATGTTTTATTATACCTGATTCAAAATGAATTTGTCACTATTTTCATTTAAAAAGAAGACCTCTATGGTGTCTTTTGTGAGAAATCCTACTCGATTCTCTTGAAACAAAAAATCATCTCAATGATGACTTCCCGACTAGCGATGGATTAGGACGGGTCAGCCCGACCCGGCCCGTCACTGTGCATGCCCGACCTGGCCCGCTCGGGTGATACCGGGACTAGGGGCCTGAACCGGGTAAAGGGGGGCAGGCTACAGGAATTGAAAAAGGCTGCCCGACCCGACTTGTCTGGGATCGGCCCGGGCCCAATTTTTATTGTTTTTGTTTTTCCCATTCATTGGCTGCTAGGTGAGTGGGGCTGGGTGGTTTGGGGGGGGGGGGGGAGGGGGGGGGGGTAGTGATATATTCGAAAAGCCATTTAAAAAAAAAAATATTTGACCGACCTGGCCCCGGCCCGATCTCGGTACACACCCAGGCCGGTACCGGGCCTGCAACCCAAAACCCCAGTCCCGCCCAATCCCGTCCCGGGGCCCGGCCCAACCCGGGCTCAGTCCACCCCTAATTTCACCGCTCCCTTACTACCTAGGTGTGAATCCGCTCCCGTACTACCTAGGTGTAGTCATGGACCAAACCGGGTCCGGGTCCAGGCCGGGCCTAGGCCCGGTTGGGCCTTTTGTGTTAAGGGGAAGGCCCGGGACCGGCCCGGGCCGGGTCCGGTTCGGGCCGGGCCTCAGTCCTGGTTGTAAGATTTTTTTTTTTCTTTCCTAAGTACCCCTTGACCCCCCCCCCCCCCCCACCCCCCAAACCCCCCAACCCCAAACGTCAAGCCCAACCCGGGAAGCCCAATAAAACTAGGGGAAAAAAATTGAGCCCAAACCGGGCCCGGCCGGGCCGAGTCCCCGTCCCCATTTCGACAGCCTGAGCCTGCCCCGCTTTACCTTTCAAACCGGGTTGAGGACCGGTTTCGGACCCGAGGCACCGGGCCGGGCCAGTCCCGCACAGTAGCGGGCCGGGCCGGGTTGCCCGAACCGGGTCCATGGCTACTTAGGTGTGAATAGGAGCTCTAGACTGACTCGACACGGCTCACAAAGGGGAAATCTAATACAAACAGGCCCTAAGCCCGTAATGAGTAAATGCACTCTATTACGAAGTATATCCTCACAAACAAGCCCAAACAGAGCAATCACACTGATACATTTAAACAAGCAAAACGACTAAGCTGACTGGAAGCCTGAAACCTTCTCCTCTTCATCACATTATATAATGACATAATTTTCATATTTCTCATCTGTACAAGGGGTAATGACGTAGATAACAACTGTGCTACAAAAGATAAAATGGAGTTATTAAATGAGTTTAAAATTATACGAACAAAATATAATAAAATACACAATAGCAAATTAAATTTCTCCTCGATATCCGCCAGATCCAAAGTAATCTCGCCTTTGATTCGCGATTTGCTGGCTCTTTTGATGCTCAAGCTTGGGGCAATCACTAATACGATGACCCAGACCACCACAGTAGGCACAACCTTTGACCCCACTTGCGTTCGTGATTGCATCATCATTCTCCCCTGGAGTTTCAAGTTCAGCGAGAACCGGAGGAATCCTTTGCTTGGCTTCTTGCAGGAGATGTTTCAGATCAAGAAGGGTTGTTGGGCTCTGAGTTTTGTTTATGAACGTTGTGGCAATTCCTGTTTTGCCACACCTACCTGTACGCCCGATCCTATGGACGTAGTTCTCAATTTCAGCAGGCATATCGTAGTTTATCACGTGCTGAATATCAGGAAAATCCAACCCTTTGGAGGCAACATCAGTTGCCACCAACACATCCTTCTTCCCTGCTTTGAACGATGAAATGGCATACTCCCTCTCTTCTTGGTCCTTTCCTCCGTGAATAGAAACAGCTTCCACTCCTTTCAAAAGCAGGTACTCGTGAATGTCATCCACATCAGCTTTGTTCTCACAAAATATTAAAACAGGAGGAGGCGTTTTCTGCAAACAGTGAAGAAGGTACACCAGCTTAGCCTCCTGCTTCACATACTCTACTTCTTGGATAACATCTAAGTTAGCTGCTCCAGCTCTTCCCACATTCACAGTTATAGGTTTAACCAAAGCACTTCTCGCAAAGTTTTGGATCTTTGTGGGCATTGTGGCAGAAAAAAGTAGAGTTTGCCTTTGGGCTTTAAAATGATCAAACACTTCCCTTATGTCATCTTCAAAACCGAGGTCAACTAGTCTGTCCGCTTCATCTAGTGTTAAATATCTACACATAAGGCAAGCATGGCGGTAAGCATGTGAATGTCTAAACTGACAGGAAGTCAAAGATATAATAAACATTTGTATAACAAGATTTGTGCATGCACTTTTAGGTTTCCCACTTAGGCTTAGTTAATACTCTGAAAATGGAAGAATAAAAGGCAGATTGAAGCCAATCTAGTTTTAAACTCATGAAGAATCATCATTATCATTTACCCCAGTGCCGCAAAGGCTCCCACCTACGGTGGGGTAAGGGGGGGTCGGATGTACACAGTCTTACCCCTGTACTTAAGCAAAGAGAGACTGTTTCCGGATGACCCATAGTGAAAATTGCGTCCAAAATTGCATGGACTGACAGCAAAGAGAGACTGCTTCATAACAAAGAAGCGCAGACAGTTTAGTGAGCCATTTTGCTTTATTCCATCATATTCTCAAGCCAAAAAATAATGAATCTTTGGCTCCATTGCAAACGATGAAAAAAACTCATGAAGAATGAATTGGAACGAAGGTTCATGCTTCTAAACTGACAGGAAATTATAGACAGAAATGATAGAAATTATAGACAACAATCCAATTGACTTGAACTATTACTCTGGAAGCATTGTCTTAAAAAGACCAAGAATATAATATGTTTTGCCAAAGATAAACTTCTAATTATAGAGTTAATGTATTAAATCATGTAGCATTGCTTCCAAAACATTCAAGCCACACTAATCCTACAACAAAAGCAACAAGGAATAGTTACCTGCAATTGTCAAGGCTCATTTTCTTTTTAGCGAGCATATCTTTAAGTCTTCCGGGTGTTGCAACCACAATATGAACTCCTTTTTTCACCACATCTAGCTGGGACTTCATGTCAATTCCTCCAATGCATAATAGATGTCTTATCTCAGGGTACCCAGACCCCCTTAAAGGCTCTAGGAACTCTTCTATTACTTCATACGTCTGTCGTGCAAGCTCCCTAGATGGGCAAATGATTAATCCAAATGGCCCTTCTCCAGGCACAATAGGCATCATTATCTCCTCCTGTATGGCCACCATGATAAGTGGTAAAACAAAAACCAGCGTCTTCCCTGATCCTGTAAATGCTATTCCAATCATATCTCTTCCGGACAAGATGACAGGCAATCCTTGTACCTGGATTGGAGTCGGTTGAACAATTCCCTTAGCTTTAAGCTTGTCCAGGATAGGGTCAGGAAACCTCATATCCTTAAAATTCTTAATGGGCGGAGGGATATCATCTCCATCCACAATAATGTGCCACTGTTTACGAATGGTGTCACGGGCTCTTGTTGCCATCCTTCTGATGGCTAATGGAGGCTTCCAACCAGTGAACATAGGATCTGTGTAGGTAATCCCTTTTGCAAGTTCACGCACTGACATCAGAGTCTTTCTATCAGAGAGATGCTCAATCATTTCTTTCTCTTGCTGAACCATTTGCTCAGTCAAACTAACCTCTGGCATTTCCTTCTTTAGCTGAGTAGCCTTCACAAGCAAGCTCGGCTTTGCCTCAACTTGTTTTGTCTTTTCAGTTTCCTCTTCTAACGGTGCAGATTTGCCCTTCCGTTGTAGGATTTTCTGTGCCTCGAGCGCCCTTCGTTTTGCCACAGGAACATACTCAACATAATCATCATCCTCAATCTCCTGGACACCAAAACAAACATTACAAAATTAATTTACTAACAAGAATAAATATTATTCAGATCTGATCAAAGCATATACTTGAAAATTAAGCGATTTAACGGATCCAGATTGCAGTATAAGAATCCCAATTACTCTGTGGAAATTCAACTTTTCAGAAAAGCAAATTTGAAGGAGAAAACAGCAACTTGTTTACAAAGCTGATCAGTTTGAAAGTTTCATATTAAATTCTTGCAGATCTAAATAAAAGAATATTTTGACAATTTTCAAGATCATAATGCATTCATCTCAGGATGGGTACCTGCATTACAACTGCATGGTATTTTGTAACACTTACCATGTTCATATGAGCAGCCATTGGATAGATAACTGGAGGCAGCTAGTCACGGAAATGAGAGTCTCTTGAACCAATTATTAGGAACAGTGTATGTGCCCACCTGTGTCCATAGTGATCAAGATTTTAAACTCAGACTGGTAATTGACGGTGTTAGAGGTACCAATGGCCCAATGGATCTCCAGTTGAAGCACTGTGTACCAATGGCCGATGGGTCACTAGTTGAACTGTAAGACCCAGATTCCATTCAAAAACTGTTAAATAGTAAAAACTAATACTGGTAACCATCTTGGTTAAAAGAAAAATTTATACTTGGGGAACGGAGGGATAATATACTAATTTAACTTAACCAAAACTGACATGCAATATACAAGTCATATTCAGGGGAGATGAGAAAATCAACTCCTGAAGCATTAAATAGAGAAACATTAAAGTATAAAACATGCAAGGAAAAGTATTTTTTACAACAACAACATCCAAGCCTCAATCCACCATGAGATCGATATTTTAGTATCATGCTTGTCCCAAGTAGGAGGAGAGCGTTGTGGTAGGCGCGTGACGATCAACATTATCACTTAGTCGCATCACATGACATAGATCGAAGTATAAATATCGTTTTTGGGACTAAAGCTTAGATGTTGTTGTTGTATTAGATTGATGACTATAAATTCAAATCTTTACTATCTAGTGATTTGAAATAAGGATCATAAACGACAAATAAATTTAATTATAAAAAATACAAGTGGGCTAAGTAGGCCCAAATAATACCCACACTCCCAGCGCCATAGGCAAAGCCTTTTACACCATAGTAAAGGAATTAGCTGAGGCGCAATTGCATCACACAATTACAAACAGTGGTTTGGACAAAGTGTTAAGACATGCTAGTAATGCAGGTTACATGAGAAAAGGTGTAAGTGTAAAATTGTAAAGTACGACAAAGGGTAAAAAATGGGATACTCCCTCATTTCAAAAGGTAAAAATGAGAGTAGAACCAGATAAAATTAAATATATATGAGAGTAAAAACAGTAAAAATATAAATTTTCTAGTAAAAAGACTGAATAAGTGCTAAATTATTACATTTGTATATTTAAAAATTTTACCATAAAAATTACCGGCAGTTTTTTAAGGAAGAATCTACATTATTTAAATATAATATTTACAATTATATGAAGAAGCTATACCAAATTATAAGTTGAACTGAGACACAAGAATATCAGAAAAATATGCAGAGGTGCACAAATTAAACTGAAAAAACAAAATTATCACACACACAGAGTTAATCTATGTATATGGGCATATTTGCGTAGAAGTTATGCTATACAGAGAAAATTATCATTTTTAATGTCAAATCCAAAGAATGAAAGTACTCAGCTGGTTAAGAGATGAGAGCCTGAGAAATTTAGGAAGACAGGGAGATTTTTGGGACTCAGTGAGACCGGAAATTCAAGGCAAAAGCACTTCGAGAAAGGACGAATTGTGTTAATATGAATAATGTGCAGAGGCGGAACCAGAACAATATTTGAGGGAGGGATAAGAAGAAAGCCAAAACTCAAAAGTAAAAAACCTGAAATTGTAATAAAATCATAATATGTCAAAACTCATACATTGGGCTACTATTCACTGTTTGGAGAAGAAGCAAGTTTAGACAATTGTGTCCTGCGTGTTTGCACGTGTTTAAAACGTTGTAAAATTGTTTCATTTTCCATGTTTGCAAATATTTGATTGAGTATACCACTCCACGTCTCCACTACTTCAAGAAAATTGCAATGTTACAAATTGAGACATAAATCTATGTTGTAAGACCCGAACCGGACCGGCCGGTTCGACCCGGAAACCGGTCACCCGGCCTAATATCCGGTCCGGTTGAGCATCAACCCGTAAATCAGCCCAAAACCGGAATTACCCATCGACCCGCCGAAACCCGGGACGGACCCGACTCGGCCCAAACCCAGAAAATGCCAAAACTCCGGAAATTTGGTCGCCAGGAGGAGTCGAACCCGCGCCCAATGCTTCTCACACAGACCTGCGGACCAACGAGCTACACTAGCTTGTTGATATCTTTGGTGCATTAACTATCCTTATACCTTATCAATCGGGAATATTTCAATTAGTTTTAATTAATTTATTAACTAATAATACAAATACTACTAAATACATACTAATGCTTCTATGTGCTATTATTCTTCCGGTACATAATCTCCAACTTTGTTGTATTGTATTTTATTTTGTAATTGGTATTATGTTCATATTTATTACCCATCTAAATCCCCAAGTATTTTATATTTTTTTAAAAAATCAATACACATAAATACAATAGTTTTTAAGTGTAGGAATAAACTATTATGTTCATAATAGTTTTTCTACATTGCTTATGTTTTATTATCATTATTAAATTATGTAGGAATATAATTTTTCTAATGATGAATTCAATCTATATATAATTAATTAATTATATGTATAATCGTTGACCGGGTTTAACGGTCGTTGACCGGGTCGACCCGCCGGGTCCGGGTTGACCCGTGACCCGATCATCTGTCCGGGTCACTCTCCGGTCCGGTTTTTACAACATAGACATAAATAACCTAAAGGTTATTAAACCATATCGTAAATAGTTACAAATACTGAAATAAGAAATACAAAATCCTCCGTTTTAATAAAAAAGCCTACTTTAAGAGTTTTAGTCAAAGTCTAAAAGATTATCATTATTATTGTACTCATTGAGCATTAGAGTTAAATAGTTAAATTTATCTACTTTAAATAATATATCTAAACGAAACAATAAATTACCTAAAAACTAAGCAAATAATTATAAACTTACAATTTAGTAAACCACGGGTCTAACAACTCTATTACACTATAGATTTATAATTTATTAATTAGACTATTTGTCTATTTGGGATTTGCCTACTTCCTAAATTCAAACGCGGCTACACAATTTCATAATCGATTAAACCTTACAATAAGAAAAAGGAGGGCAAAATCTAATAAACTATAACTAATAAATAAATAAAACTTACCACTTAGTCACTCAGTGCCTTAGAGGCAGAGCTCGCAAGAGAGGACCGCAGTTCCGCAAGTCGCAAGAGGAAAATAGGAAAATAGCAAAGGCTCAATCGGTGCTTCTTTTCAATCCGTGAGTTCAGCTATTCAGTTCTGAAAGTTTCAAACCTAAATTGAATGAAGATAATGATGATGTTGGCTTGCTACAGACTACCCAGTCCACTGTCGTTTTACCTCTGTCATTATTACGTACTTCGTTATTTAGGAGCCAGTTTCAGCCGGATTCCGCGGAAATTTATAAAATTTTGAATAGATTTGTAGATTGTGCTGATTTATATAAAACATATTCAAAATACGAAGTATATTTTAGGGTTGGGAAAAGGGGCAAAAATGCCCCTAAAGTTGTCGACAAGGATGATGCATGCCCTTAAACTTTTCTTTTGGGCAAAAGTCTTAAAAAATCTTGTAAGGGGGCAACCACCCCCATGATTTAACGGTGAACCCAGTCGGCAACCGTTTGTTGCCCCTTTGATTCTTTGAATGATCAATGAAGTAGTACGGAGTAGTATATTTTAATTTAATTTATTAAACTAGTTTTGTAAATTAGTTGGAATATAAAAATTTAAATAAAACAATTAGAAACGCTAGTAAACCATAAAAAAGTGACATAGAAATTAAATAACAATTATACATAAAATTATTTCTTCTATCCCGCTAAGATTGTCTCATCTTTCATTTTTTATTCATCCCATTAAGATTGTCTCATACTCTCATGCCAAATTTAGTATAATTTTAAATTATTCTTGCTTTATTCTTACTTTATCAATTCAATATCAACCATACAAAATAACTTTTTCTTAATAACTATGTCACTTCCTTATGTCTCAATGTTAGTGCGACAGAGGTAGTATATTAACAAAAAGAACCAACCAGATTTTTTTGAAGAATTTTTTTGAGAATGTTATCCATGATGTGTAGATTATTTACATCAAATTTCAGTTTAAAATTCAATCAGGAAGTCAATTAAACAAATTATTAAAAAACAATGAGTCAAAATATATATAAAACAACACAATGTTTTTCTATAATTTTTTAATTGACTTCTTGGTTCAATTTTAAGCTAAAATTTGTTTGAAATAATCTACTCTTCATGACAAATATGCTCACAAAATTTGATAAAAAAGTTCTACACAAAAACATCTCAAATAGAGGCTTCTATCAGGTTATTTTGGTCCCAACTTTTCTGATTATTTTATATTGGATACTAATACTATTAAAAAGTATAAAAACTGGGAGGGGCAATGGCCCCCCTACCCCTCAATGTAGATCCGTCCCTGCTTGTGTATAATCCAAATTATATGGATCGTCCGCTAATAATGGTCCATGACCAAGTATAACCTACTATAGCAAGTCAATTTTAAATAGAAACGAAAAAAATATTTGATAAACGATGTTAATTATGCTCGTTCTTCTTTTGATAATCTCAAAATCAAGTCAATATTTTTACAAAAAGTAGAAGAATTATATTTATTAAATTTCAGTTACTGATTTTTATAAAATGAAAGTTTAAATAAATCTCAAAACGTATTGCGTTTCAAAAATAAAAAATATCACATTTATTTTTTCTTTTCATATAAAAAATTGTGATTTTTGATAAATAATTATTTTTGGGTACTTTTACAAATTCATATTTAAAAAAAAAATTAAAATGAATTAATAATTTAGGATGATTACCTTTTAAAATTTTTAATATTTACAAAAAGTATTATTGTTTATTTTTTATTTTTTGCACTTTCTTAATTTTAAAAACTAAGGTTTTCATTTTTTGAATTTGAATTTGTACCTAATTTGCAATTTCGTTTTTCATTTAAGGTTTTTATATTGGTCTTTTTACTTTATTTATTTATATACTTTATATTCTTTATATATATTTATAAAATCTTACATATTATAAAATTCTAATTGTGGAATTTATAAAAGTTTTTTGAATATTATATATTTAATTTTTTATATTGTTTAATTCCATAAACTGCCTAAAAGTTAATTAAGTAAAACTAAATATTTATAATCTTTTGTTTATCATTTTTTACTTATTTTTGAAAATTTTACTTTATTTTTTTGGGTTTAATACGATAGATGATAATTTGGGTTATTATAATATGATATATTTTTATTGATTGACCGAACATGTAGCTAGTAATGTGGGACCATTATTGGCGGAAGATCTAAACTTGAGGTTATTCTGAAATAATCGATAGTTGGAATTATTATGGGTGGACCGCCAACAGTTGAGATTACTGTTATTATCATTGAATTTTCCTATCTTTAATACGCAATTACTTTGAATGTGAAAACTATATCAAAATGTCCCTTCTTCAAAATATTTTCATAAAAGTATAAACTTTATAAATAAATTATACATAAATATAAGAAATAATTACATAAATATGACCAAAATAAATGTGGTTTACAAAAATATGACTAGTTACTAGAGTAGTAATGGAATCATAGTAATTCATGTTCAAGTTTTGAACTTAAGTTACCACAACACTACGTTGTAGTAATGAATAGTCATATTTATGTAAATAAGTTTTATTTTAATAATATTCTTATAAAAAACCCTAAATATAATCATTGTCCAAAATTTGTCATCATTGACCAAAAAATGTCATTATGGCAAATCTTTTCGGGATGGAGGTAATATTAGATATGGTGATAATTTTGTCGAAGAGCATATACTAATTATTGTAGTGAAAAATGTAAACGATCCACGGTGTTGTACTGGAGCGATTTCTTACCGTAAGACATGTTATTGATATGGATATATGGTCATTACACTTTCACTGAAAGTGGCATTGATGATTTGTTTGCTAAGTATGAATAATGTTAGTCCAAAGTTAGAGATCTGAATTATGACAGGACCTCTAATATATGAGATGAATTTAATGAATAGAAGCTTTTCTCTTCAGCAAAAATACATATGTGAAAACAATGTGTCAATCCACGATAAATCAGTGTTGGATCGACAAACCCTTTGATTATTTTTGTACTGCATGCAATTTGATAAAAGTTAGATATATTAAATTATATCATTAAATAAAGTTATATTTAAGGTTGTAATAACAAAGTTGAATCATACTTCATTTTTTTACACGATAGTATTATATTTCAAACAACTACCAACCATTTAGTGGCACAATGTGTAACATTCGACATGATCCTTGTGAACTAAAATTCTGACCATTTATAGTATGAAAAATAAAAAATATGATCATATAAACTCACAAATGATGCAAGGGTTATTCACATCTAGTCCAAATAATGTTTTTCTTTGAGATAGTCAAATATTATTGTTTAGAATGATTTCAATGGGTTCAAAACTAGATCAATAATCAATAGATGTCCATTGTTTGAAGCCAACATTAAAAAACCTATTTCCTGTGAAAAATAATAATTTGAACAGGGTGAACATAATAATAATTTACTATTTATCACACACAGACTTCCTCAAAGGTTTTCAAAAAAATTGATACTCTCAACTATTGCACACCAACTTCCTCTAAATAATCCTAATTACTAATAACTTCAAAATAATCCCAATTTTGGAGACCTCCCACCTTTTTTTAAGTATGTTAAGTATGTTAAAAGAGAAATACTCGATTATAATAATCAGAATTATGTCATGCCAATTTTTATCAGGCTGAGAAATTAAATGAAAATTTCTACAAATAAATAAAAAATGGTAAAAAATGATTATAAATATTTATGTTTTACTATAATTCACCTTTTTAGTTAGTTAATGAGATTAAAGAATATAAATTATAAAAACATAACATATGACAAAACTAAGGAAATATAACTTTAAATAATACCAACTATCTAATCAAGAATAATACCTACTTTAGAAATAACTTTTGATAATACCAACTAATTTGAATATATATCAAAAGTTATATAAAACAAATTTCCACTAAAAAATCAGTCATTTAACTCATACAAATAATATCAAAATATCAAATAAGTGATCATATTTTATAAATATCATTTATTTGATGGTCTAATGTTAGTTTTTTATGTCTTAAATGACCGGGCTTCTTATATAAAAGTGACTCCATATTATTTTTGTTTTACACTCAAATAGTTGGTATTATTAAAAGTTATTTTTAAAGTACGTATTATTCTTGGTTCATGGAAGATAGTATTATTTAAAGTTATTAATATAAATTTCATGTATATTAATATATAAGATAGAAAAAATTGAAAATAATAATCCCAACTGCTATCAATCCACTATAAATAATCTCAACTTTTGATAATTTCTGGGTGCTCGCAACTATAGGTGTTATCTTCCCGTTTATAAATAAAAAAAAACATTACAAATAAAATGAAGAATAGCACTCCATCATTATCTATTAAATTATCATATATACTTTTCTAAAAATAATTTATTACACGCACCATTTTCCTATTTTTGTAAATGTTTCATGTATTTATGGGAGATTTCCCAAAAAATGAGTAGATGGAGTTTGGAATTCTAAAATAGAACTACTATGTTTTTATTTCCGAAATAGGACTAACATGATAGTATTTACTGCCATCTTGTAGGCGCGACTGTCAAATAGTTGCAGTACAGTGCATTTAACATGTCAATATTTATTATAATTAATTGCATTATTTTTCAATCATGGCAGTATTTTTCATACATGACAGTAACAACTCCTATTCCGGGAAGAAAAACATAGTACTCCTATTTTGAAATTATAACCCTCATTTACTCATATTTAGTACAATTTCCTTGTATTTATATCTATGAATGATCTTATCAAGTCGGGCTGACATGGTCCATTATCCGATTAAGGCCATTTGAGGCCCTTCCCCTATTGAAGTTTTTGATGATTTTTTTAGCATGTTTTTCATCAAATGAGGATTAACTCCACAAAATTTTAGCTTAACTTTTCATCAGTAAGTCAGTTAAATAAATTATTGAAACATTATGTGCTTTATAGTTAAGATACCATAACGAAAATAAATTAAACATTTTTTCCTCTAAAAACAGCTAGAAAAAAGCCTTAAATCATTAAATTTGAAATCGTCGTATACTTTTTGGAAACAAAAATGTAAAAATGAATACAACATCCAAGCCTTAATCCCAAAAGATTTTGGGGTCGGCTAACATGAAACGATCCATGATATCGATGCCAAAAAAGGAAGACAGAAAAGAAGAAGAAAAAAAAGGATAAAACGAAAAAGATAAAGATAAATAAATATAAGATAACAATAACATAAGAAAGATAAAAGATTAAAAGATAAAAGAGCATAAAAAAGCTAGAAGATAAAAATAACATAAGAACGTAAAAAGACAAAGAAGATAAACAATAAAAGAAAACGAGAGAGGAAAAGAGAGAGATCAATCTTCCACACGAATGTGCGCCCTCCATTTTGCCCTCTCCAAAGCCATACTCTCATCCAACCCAAGAAGACGCATATCAG